CACTAAAGCCTTCAGTAGTTTAAACATGGAAATTTTGCATTGTCATTATTGCGCATTGTCATTATCGAAACCTTCTACATATGTAAAATTGAAATCATTAAACATGATTGTCCCGTGATTATAGCAATGCCCTAGTTTTAGACATGCTTGAAAATTAGRCATGGMAAAATTGCAGATAATCACTGTGCAATCATTTAAAGAGAAYATAGTTGCACAAAAGAAGATTGTCATGCACAATAATTCTACTGCAAAATTTGCAAACAAAAACAAGCAAAACAAAACACAACCTAATGTTTTGAAGTGTGATATCAGTGTGAAATAAACATTTGAAATGTTTTTTTTTATGATATACTTTTCTAGAGTAACAATAAAGAAATGTTTAAAATCACACTTTTCGGTTACAGTATTTTGCTGTCCCCAGTAGAAAGAGGTTATTTTCTTTCTTTTTTCCCCAGCAAACACTTTGATTTCATGAACAGGAAATACGTGTTTACTATTTTAGTTGCACTTCCTTGATCTTACAGGCAACATTGTACACATTTTTCAATATTTTTGTCYCCCTTTTGCCTCCCCATGATGTATAATGCTTTCACTGTACTTYCAAGATGATACAACCTTTGTAGCTCTCACGAGTTTTGATTTAAACAAGTAATGCATACATCATTCTGAAAAAAAAATAGGAAGACCATTGAAACAACTGTCAGTGTTATCATGATTGGGTGATCTTTTATAAACTAGTAAATTGCTAMTGTACATTGTTAGTAGCTACTGTACATGTAAACCTTGTAAAAGGAATGTGTAAAGGCTGAATTAGACAGCATAACGTTTGCCTACAACTGCCACATGTAACCTGCCTATCAAGCCCTCAACATGGCTAGAACTGTAATAGGGAGATTAAACAATATTTGTTTTGAATCCTACATGTACAACAGTTGMAGCTATGTTGTGAAGATGACTTGGACAGGTTGTATGCAATAGACCTCTGAAGCCTTTACATCATGTACCATATACGCAGTGCATTGTAGGATATGTCTGGGACAAAACATGGCGGATTTCTTTTGTTTTCTCTTGAAACTGATCCCACAATGCATTGAAAATCAAGTTGTGACGTAAAAGGTTCAGAAGTCTATTGCCTGAAGATAAAAGTGACACATATTATCTAATCCAGCTGACAAGTACTAAATATATACAATTTAGTTAATAGGTTAATATGGTGTAGAATAGACAATAGAAAAAAAGGAAGTTAAACAATTTAGTACAATTTAATTACTAAAGTTTTCTGTAATTAAAATAAAGCAGTTTATATCACATCTTTAAATAATCCAGTACATACCTATACAAGTAATAAAAGAAGCTAATGAGGTAAAAAGCTAGTTTGATCCAGCCTTCCTTCTGACATCTCCACATTTCACTTGCATTCATCACTTCTGTTGGATCGTAAAGACCCGCACTACTCATCATTGGTCGATTGATGTATCTAGATTATCAATACAATTACAGTAAATTACTTCAATTTACATCACACTAAAATCAACCATTAGTCAAACAATAGTTATTATTACATAATGGCAAAGTTCACCAAACTTTTTAGTCACAAAATCTTCCTCAAAACATGTTAGTTTGTTTTGTTAGTTTGGAGGAAACACTCGACTAGTATTTGACTGAAAAATTGACTTTAAGATGACAATTCTTTGTTTTCAATATGCATGACACTGGCTATCTTGGTTGAATTTCACCAATGGATTTCTCATTTGTATCTATTGACTTCATTCATCCAACATGGCTGCCAGTCTTTTGTCTTTTGCATCTCATAGGAATGAAAATTTAATGCATGAATAATATAATCCTTACCTGTGTACATGATAAGCAAGCAATGGGATATTAAACACTACAGCAGACCACTGACCACCAAATAGAAACAACAATGTGATACCACCATGGACTAAATATTCTGGTAAAACAAGCTACATTCAGGAGAGAAAAAAAAAATAAAGTTAATCAAGCAAGTCATGCATGTGTGGTGAACACCCTTGTGACAAGCTGGCAACTTCTTTATGCTCAGTCAAATGAAATATCCTTGGGATGTTTAGTGTGCATGTGATCTATTTTTTGTTAATCCAATCAAAGAATGTTATTCAGACCTTTTATATCCTAATAGTTATTGTAAATTATTTACCCATCATAAGCAGTGACAATAGGCAAATTGAATTTCATGGGGGAGATAATAAAAAACAGTGAGTTGCATTTGCTGTTTCAGTTTTCACTTCTACAGAGCATGTTTGGTTTAGAATAAGGAGAGTTACATTACATGCAATTCTGRCACTTATTTGAATAATTTATAATGCAATATACCAGAAATAAATAATAACTAAATCCATTTGGTAATCCTCTGCTTTCATGATTTGAATTTTCCTAAGTTTTTGTACTTCAAAGATACCGTATGCATGTACGTTCTACCTTGGGATAATAAAGAATATTAACATACATTTAATTCTGCATTTTCGTGCTATTTTTTCTCAGTAAGCTTCCATAAAATTGCAAATCAAGCCACGAGTTCAATATAAGAAATGCAAGGCATTACTTTTAACGTATATGTATATCAAATACTATACTATTAAAACGAATATTTATTGACTGAACCAGGTGATTGAGATRGGAGTCGCTAAAACAATGTTTACAGTTAGCAATAAAGCTGATAGCAAAATCACCTGCGCATTATTGACACCTGTATCGAAACAGAGTAGTAGCTTCAAGAAAAAAAACTGACACCGATCAGACGAGATATCATCGCCGTGAAGAACGCATCTAATGCAGTGGAAACTTTAATACCGTTTAGTAAACAATTCCAGTAAAATATTAAGGAAATTCAATAGAAGTTCCATACAATACTTTTAAGTTAAATGAATTCATGAATTAACATGAACAAACTTCTTATTCTTGTTTGTGGAAGCATCATTGTCGATGTTATTTTCTGCAGCATAAAAACCTTCTTTACATTAAAACTTATTGATCACAAGCACAGTACATAATAGAAYATTTGGAGGCACTAACACTGTGTTTCAAAGTACCTACCGGATTAAGACTGTTACACAAATCTACCGGATTTTTGTAGTCAGTTTTGAGGTCATCAAACGCAATAATCTACACCAAAAAAAATATACTTTTTTTATAAGATCAAACAATAATGAAAACTCAGATGATAAATTCAATATACTTACGTTCCATATGACTAAAAATATCAAAGCAATACTGATTAAAATTGCCACAATAAAAGCGAAAACTTCAAACGACATGTTGGAGAAATTTTCTCTGATCTGCCAACTTGGCGTCCTTCAAGATTGCCAGGCTACTAAGTTTTTTTAATACACAGGAATCCCAGATGAAGCCGGAAATAGTCTCRCGGAAAAGCAGAATAATCATGTCACGATAAGTCAATTAATCGATAATTGCTTATCCAATTTGTTCCTGGCTTCCAGTACTACACAATTTTGCAGAATTCTTTTGTAATCATACTGAAATATAAAGAAACTATCTTTTGAATCAGCTAGCACGCGACATCTTGTCATGATTCCGAGAATTCACCAGACCAGATCAAAATACTACTGTGGTCTACTGTGGGTATAGTAGCAAGAAAAAATAGTTTTACAAGCCTATAGAAAGCAAAATTGCAAAATTTGTTGCTACAGAAACGCATCTCATTCTCGAGAGCATAGATGAATCTCAKTGATTACCGAAATAATATGATTCCGTCATCTCCAAAAATTTCTATTGATATCAGACATTTGACTTYTGATCCTCCCCACCCTGCCGCATTGRTTTTAGTAAAGCTCCCTGKCTWCAAGTATCAACATAGAAGTATTAAATACACAGGGGAAAGAAATTAATCTGAATTACGGCTACTTTCTGATCGATGGGAAACAAGCAATCCGCAATCGACAATGTTCGATTCGGAGAACGAATTGGYGGTGGTTCTTATGGAGAAGTCTTCAAGGGAACTTGGAATGGAAGGACAGTTGCTTTAAAGAGGCTACASTCATTCTTCTTCGAAGATGGCCATGGCCTTTATAACCAAGGAAAAGTCTTCGACAACTTGAGCAGAGAATGGGAGATTTTATCTACTTTAAGTCACCCAAACATTGTTGAATACTACACTGTTATTGTGAGCGAAAGAGCTCCTCCGATTATCGTTACAGAATTGTGTSAAGGCGATCTTTACCATTTCATTCGCTTCGAGTGCGATCGCAAAGTTCTGTTCAAGGATGTGGTAAATATCATGAGCGACGTGGCGGAGGGATTGAAATATCTRCACAGTCGTGTMCCTCCGATTATCCACCGAGATCTTACGAGTAAAAACGTACTGTTGACAGGAAATAAACGCGCCAAAATCACCGATATGGGATTGTCCAAAGCGTTTCCTCAAGGGGCCATGTATGCTACTGCAGGAGTAGGGACCCCGGTGTATAGTGCACCAGAGACCTATCCATTAAGGCACCAACCGTCGGGACGCTTTGCAGAAAAGGCCTACTACACAGAGAAAGTCGACGTATTTTCGTTTGGTGCGATGCTATTGGAAATTATCATTGGTCGRCTACCCAAGTCACAGTTGCMAGATCCTCTGCTTGAWAGTAATGTTTTATAACACATTTGTTACGTCATTTGGACGCACATCACGTCTTTACTACTTTTAGTCATTAAGAGTCAGATCACTTGCAAGCTAGCGCGGCGGCCATGTTTTGTGTGGAGTGCAAGCATAAATTCATAAAAAAGCCATTAGTAATTCATCTGAATTCATAGTACTAAAATATGCTAATTATACAAAGTCCTTTCTTTTCCATTGACTAATCTATACTATATTTTGACGRATATTTTCCAGGTGGAGAGGTCGTTCCAGAATATATCCGTAGAAGTGAAGACCTTTGTGARATGGGCCCAGACCACCCCTTACATGCCCTGGTCAGTAGCTGCCTTAATAATCTGCCACAGGATCGTCCTTCTGCACAAGAATTAATCGATTGCTTGGCCTCGTTCAARGGTGATGATAATGAAAACGAGATGATGAGCTTGAAATCAAAATCGTTTTCAGGTTCAAAGGCGTCACTGAAGTATAGTGAGAGCCCTCCGGCGTATTCGTCTGTCATGAAAGTCACCAAAGACAGGTTTGTGTGCGCGCAACTCGAACTACTGCTTGCTGGGAAATGCGAGAAACAGAAACAACAACAGCAACAACAAAAACGCCTGAAGTTGCCAACAAGACGTTGTTTCAGATCTTCGCCGTTCTGTAGTAGGCTCCAATCCTCTCTAACTCTCATACTTTGAAGAGAGAGAGAGGGAGAGTGAAAACATAAAAGATTAAAACAACAACAACAACAACAACAACAACAACAACAAACAAACAAAACGAAGCAAAAAGAAAATACTGTGCAATTGCAAATCGGAAGTAGACTCGTACACAAGCAGACGCAACTGCATTCAGAACAATAAAATGCATATACTGCTCGATATATAAACTGCGATTATGCTGCGAAAATACTTTTATCGAAAATAAATGAGAATCCATTTAAAACAGCTATTCAAGTCAACTTTGAAAAATCTAGGTTATTAACACACGGGATTTTGGTGTATTCCTTTCAGATACGACTATAATTTCAAGGTCGCTGTCGTTGGGGATTCTGCAGTTGGCAAAACCAGTATCATCCAGCGCTTTCTTCATCCCGAAAGGCAATTTTTACCGTATGATGAAGCAAAGACCACGATACAGCCMGCAGATTTTTTTCATCGCGTTCAGTATCTTGGGAAATCTATTCACTTGCACATTGTCGATACGCCCGGTGAAAAGAGAGCAGTGTTCCACCAAGCCTCTAATGTCGTTCCTTTGATCTACCGTGGACTAAATGGAGCTGTAATTGTCTTCGATGTTGGASATAGGTGGTCATATAAGAATGTTACCGATTGGATTAACGCTATACAAGTAAGTAAGACTAGATATCACAGGGTCTCACAGCTATTGGGGCTTTTACTACATGAACATCAATAGGCCTTTTGCAGCTGGGGGTCAAGTGACCACAMCTATACCTCAAATCAATMAGCTATCAAAAAATAATGTTCAGAAATGCAAAGAGGGAATCAAAATAAGTAAGAAGACATATATATAATATTTTAAAATTGATAGCAAATATAAAATCATATATTTTTTTCTAAAGAAACATATGCAAAAACTCAGAACTGGAGATCAAGGCTTGCTCTCCAGCTCTATTTTCCCATGCGTTTCTTAAGAAGAACTCTAATAAGAAAAATCAATATTTCACATTTGCTGTCRTTTTTTAAGTGTTTAGACTTGAGACTTGAGGCTTTGCCATTTTACCAACATAAACCTGCTCTTTCCATTTCTGAACATCATTGTTCTAAGCTGATTGATTTAAGGTAGTTGTGGTCACGTGACCCGCAGTGTTATTTCATTATGACCGTTATATTGTGTTTACATCTGGGAAAGATGCAAAACACAGTGGGAATTAGACTCATTTGATCCCTTCTGTCAAATTAACCATTATCACTTCAGCGTTAAAACTAGAATGCTTTGATGTGACGTCATAATGAAATAGAGCAATTCGCTCATTCATTTCAGAAGCGTAGTAGTCCAGAAACACCMATGGTWCTTGTAGGAAACAAAACAGATTTGGACCCTAATTCTTGGATGATTTCCTCACACGACGTCGAGGCTTTTGCTTCAGAGCGAGGCTTGTTTTATATTGAAACAAGTGCAGTAGGATTGATTAACATCGATGAAATATTTTGCATTCTTATCGAGCGAATGATCCAAGAAAGACAGAGAAACAACGAGACCCGAGCAACATCGCCAGACTGGGTATTGTACCAATCGCCAACAAAGCAATCTCTACTTAAGGGAGATATACCACCTYCTTATCAAAGCGCCCTTACTGATCGAGCCTCTGTAAGCMAKCTTCGTTCTTCGAATATTCAGCTTGCAAATAGCACAAATTCAGTAAACGATGGTACAAATAATACAGGAAAAAAAAAGTGTTGTAGATAGTTCTAGACCATAAATTCAACCCATCAGAGTTACTGCAAAAGGATTTCATATAAAATAGTAGAAGGACATTACAATATACACATACTAAAAAACTATTTTCTCTTAATAAGATATATATATATATATGAGCGATGTTATTGTAAAAGGTACTTAAGCTGTTAAGGTCCCTTTTGCTCTCGAGTCTCTACGCTAGGCACCACTGGTSGCGGGCGTGTTCTTTAGGGCCTTTTTGCTTTGACAACACTCATATGTATCACTGAATTCATGCTATAAATTAATGTTTGAATTTGATATTAGCCGCTCCAGACGCCCAGGTCATTGTGCAGTGCATACCTCAAAACGCTTCAAAGTGTACTATATCTGTGGTTAATCATCTTTTATATCATGTTATTTTTACAACAGTTTTTTAATTTGATTACTTCTTTTGCGTTGGGTGAATATTGCAATCAATAACCACTACCCATAATGAATTGCGGTCGCTTTTAGCGTATATCGAAAATGACATGATTCTAATCAATGTATTTTGCATCATATTATTGACTCCGCTGTTAATTCCCAATAAATTTTATTATTTTCCCAAATCCCGCTATACATATATTGGTTGTCTATTATTGCTTTTTGCTTTTTGCTGCCCGCTGAGAAGCCGAATGACTGTCTTCTTGACTTGTGTCCTTTGCGTGGAGARGCAAGAAACCACAATGTACAATCTATATTTATATAATCAAAGTCTGTCCATTGGCGCCCGACTGTTCAACGAGAGCAATCTTAAAGCGCAGCTGTTTTAGCCATTTTGATATGACAATACGCGTCTCCTTGTTTGCTCTCTTGCGTGTTTGTGCCTTTCGAAGACGATTGTGAGATCCTTCTGAAACCTAGAAAAAAAAAATAAAACGATTTATAATCTTACTAGTTTACGATTTAATAACGTTTCGAGGCCCATCTCAGCCGACGCGAGTGAAGTTGACTCTGGTAAGTCTGGTAACGCGGAGCAACAGTCAGTCCTTAATGGCTCCCTACGCCATCTTGAAATGTAACCGTTCCTTTGCATTTCAGCCAGGCGAATGTTGATCATGCTAAGATAATAGCCTTTGCTCATAACCACAGACAATTATCAAGCGCCATCCTTAAACTAGTTTTTTTTGTCAGAGAAGGCAAAAAAATAGTCACTGTTAGGGGGTATAGCTCAGTGGTAGAGCATTCGACTGCAGATCGAGAGGTCACCGGTTCAATCCCGGTTGCCCCCTAGTTATATTTCTTTTGCAACATTTTTTGCCTTTAAGTAACAAGAACTATACTAGGGAACTCTATTGTTCTGCGGCATTGCAACTTCCCCACATACGAATGTCTTGGTTTTCACACTGATTATATATCAACCTATGGGTACCACATTTTTGAAATAAAATGTGGATAAACTCTATTTTAAAACAAAGTTTCTTTTGTATTAAAACCTCTTATCCAATCACAAGCACTCACAGCAATAGCCAAAAGATGCTTCTAATTTGCTATGTTCCCCACGTAGAATTGCCTTAATATTRWAGCTAAAGAAAGCTTTCATGAAGTCGGAATCAGATATTAAATAAAATATTAGAAGATGCGCTAACTTGTGAAATTATAGCAGATTTTCTTGTTTAAACCAATGGGATGGATGGATTATACAATGCACAATTAGCAGCTTCTTGCATTCCKTTGCCGTTTGCTTCCCTAGTTCTTACTCGGGCCATTACTTAATTTCCTCGCYTTTATAGTGTCTAGGGCTTTCTTCATGGAAATTAAAAGCAAAAAATACTGCAAAAGAAATAAAACTAGGGAGCAACCGGGATTGAACCGGTGACCTCTCGATCTGCAGTCGAATGCTCTACCACTGAGCTATACCCCCTAAATCTGACTATACCCTCAACTGTTTCTGTTTCAGTTCACGATAATTGTTACCTCACAATATGGGCTACCTGTGCTTGTAAAACAACACTTACCCCTTTTAAGGAGAAGCAGAATGTCAAGATAGGATGCCACATTGGATACAACTATAATAAACAACGAAAATATTTTAGTCGCGCAGATCCAATGATACAGTGTGTTTTCGTTATCCACAAGAGTCTCAGTCATGTCACGTACCTTRGGTAACGCTGTGCAGTTACACTCCTGTAACGCTTCGAGAAGATTTAGGAAATTGTGACCTATTAGGTCACACATCTTCAAAAAATAACAAAAATATGCAATTTTTAAAAGGTGGGAATATAGCATTGTTATTCATCATTTTGACATAGATATTTAAGTTTAACCGTCGACATGTATAAGTGCAGCGACGCCATTTTCCCTCTCGCAGCATGATGATGATAATTTATAGTCGTTGCGCGTAGAAATAATCTCCAAAAAAACATTTTGTGTGTTCTACCTCTAATATACTTTTTTTGCCAAAAAGTAAGCGGCATTTCGGTGACTAGTTCTACATATACCATCATGCTTTGTTGTACAAAATGGCGCGAATGTGTTACAGTGGGGCGGGCGGTCGTCCATCAGTCAGCCGTACRCTGTGTATCATACCTCTTTGGATTTTGTGAGTAGATGCAGTATTCCCGGTGTTACGATACCCCAGAACTCGAGTACGATTGGAGAAGACTGTTCACTGTATTCGCCATGTAACTTTATGATATCACAGTATAACGACCACAGCTGAAAGAAGAAAACAACACAAGAAAGAAAATTTATTTTTTAACTAATAAGTTAACTATTGTAAATACTTAGCAATTAAGGTCGAGTGGACTACGAGCTAATAGCCCATGAGGCCGAATGGGCTATTAGCTTGTAGTCCACGAGGCCGAKAGGTCTAATTGTTTTAGTATAAACATACTAATCGGTCAAATAATGAAAACAAATTGAAACTATCCTTAAAATAATTTATGATTTATTGATTTTGATTTTCCCGCGAGTGGTCTATCACAAATTAGACCATTAGTAGAGTAGCCAATCACAGCGCAGTATGAGTGATAGACCATTAATATGTTTATACTAAACGACGATAGACGAATGAAAACAAAAAAACAAACAAACAAACAAAGCAAGGCCGAAAGGCAGTGTGGGAATATAAGTGCCACTTGAMCTTCGACATGTCCATAAAACATTTAAATAAATAATATTATACATGTCATATCTCTCGTGTATCAATKTCGGGTTAAAGTAAAAACACATATGTAATTAAAAGGCAATGTTTGCCAATTGTTCTACGATGTTCCAACGATGGGAAAACATTTCTACATTCACACCGAGGTGTGTRCAAGAACTCATCTTGTATTGACAGATAATCGCATAAAAACACTCAATCTTTTGAAGGGACAAAGTCTCACAGGAGAAAGACTCCAATTTAATAATTTGTGCGTCTGTGCAAAGTTACAGTTGACTTCCTTAAAAAAGTGACGTCAATATTATTGATTGATTTTGGCCACTTTGCTTGAAAACCTGCTTTCTTCATCGAGTTGGGGGTATAGCTCAGTGGTAGAGCATTCGACTGCAGATCGAGAGGTCACCGGTTCAATCCCGGTTGCCCCCTCTTTTTTCAATTAGCTGTTTGTTATTATCTTTTTTCTTCACCTTGACCTGTCTCTATTTTTGTTTTATTATTATATCCATATAATTTCTATTTATTATTTTATTATTTATTTATCTAGTATGTTTTTACTAACATATACAATTTGTCTTTCAAATATACAATTTACAAACCTCGCAGAGATGAAAAGCATGGTAAAGAGCTGTAATATTCAGAGAGTCCTGAAATTAAAGATAAAATTATCTTAATCAACGTGGAATTTCATGGTAATTGATGACAAATTGTAAGTAGATTTAATGTAAAACTTAAAAAGGGACTGGTGCCGAGTCAACGATGCGAGAGGCATTCGTCCAAWGTCCTAAAACATAAAATGACAGAGAATGCATGGGAATTTACAGAAGCGTGCCCCCCTCCCCTCCCACATCCATACATCCATACATCTGTTATTTAGGAAAATTTTCTCAAAAGAATTGCTACTCCTGTAGTATACAAACAAAMACTGGCTCAAATCTGACATTGATACTTATTGCGGTATGGTCTATCATATGGTGAAATTTATTTTCATTGCCCTGTTWACATTGGTGAAGATGCTCAAAAACAGTGGAAATTTGGACCATTCAAATTCTTYCCCAAACTAGAACTAGAACAATTTATCTAGTTTTGATATACACCTAATTGAAGAAACGTTGTCGGGTCCAAAAAGGTCAAATCATAGAAGCTAAGACCGAAAGGGTACTTGGGAAGACAAACAATTTGGCTAATTTCATAACAAACAGCTCTCCAGCATAAAAGACAAACTCATGCTTTTAATCTTACTAGCTCTACTTGCTTAGTGTACACYGTATATATGCAAATGTAATCCCAATTGAGTGGTACTCAAAATCCCTTTCGGTCTTAGCTTTTATGATGTGACCTTTTCGAACACGACTACGTTTTTTCAATTAGGTGTACACCATATCATGTATGAAAGATTGCTTGTGAACATTTTATTTGATTTGCAATCACTTTGACCATAATCCTTAGCACTGAAACAATAGACGTAACGTCATAATGAAATAGGGCAATAGGCGATTTGCATTAAGCGATCACGTGATCAAATCCGCCATTTTGGCTGGTCGTGAGACAATTTTTGGCACGACAGGAATGTAAACAAAGATGGCGTAAAAAGAACTAAAACTCACCTTTGATTTGATGTCAAAAAGTCGGCTCCGCCATCTTTGTTTACATTCCTGTCGTGCCAAAAATTGTCGCGCGACCAGCCAAAATGGCGGATTTTATCACGTGATCGCTTAATGCAAATCGCCTATTGTCGGAGTATTTTTATATTCGTCCCCAGTCTCTTCTTGACCACCAATTCAAAGAGCCAATTCAATGTCAATGCATGGTCAAAGATGAACAAACTAGAAATCTAACCTTCAGAGGTTCGGCAAAGCTGTGTAGGATGATTGCAACGTATTTTGCAACGTTGACGTTCTCTTCAAGAGCGATTGGCTGACATTGTGCATGAACGGTCTTTGAATTTACTATGTGAGACAGCGATCCTTGGAGAATCCAGGTCAGCAGTCTCATGTTGCTGACACATTCTTGAAGCTCCCTAGGACTAAAAATATTGAAATATTGCAGGAGTTACAGTTATTGTATTTTTTTCTTCTCATATTAAGCTTTACAATGCTTTATGTTGAATTCTCATTGTTTTGATGAAGCACTGTTTTGGTATAAAACCTTCAGCGCACTCACGACGCTCAGTACTTCAAAAGTCTTTTCCCTCCGCCATCTTGAATTGTGACCGTGCGTTTGCATCGAGGCGAGATGACAGTTGAGCGTGCAATGATAGAAACCATTGTTCGCAATTGCAGCTGATTCAGAATAAAACTATACACTGAATGCTGCATACTGTATTCCAAGACCGCAATGTATTGCTGCTTTTAAAATTCACGAAAGGTGCGTTGTAAAATGGCAATTCTAAACTAAATACTCCAGTTTCGAATTCTCCAATGCTCTGTGTTAGCCTCACTTGTGTGCAAAATATTCCTTAGTTGTGAGCGTAAAAGTGTGAGATTTCAAATCAAATTTATTGTCTTTCTTCACAAATTCCATGCGTTTTCTCGAGCTATCAATGAAACAAAAGAATATGTTACTTGGTTTTGAGGCTAACACAGAGCAAACCAGATCTCGAAATTGGAGTATTGCTTCCCACTAAAGTTCTTGACTGTGAAGAGCTGGTATAGTCATTTCTACAGCAACACACTCTTTTTGAACAGCGACAGAACGAATAACAATGCACTGCAGTCCTGGAATACACTACCTTCAGTATTATCGTTTTCTGGGATAGCTGTATTCATTGAGTTGTGCATTATTGCGTGGACTCTAAACGTCTCTCTCTCAAGATGGCGCTAGAGAGTACTTCATCAAAAGAAATGTAAGCTTCACTGTACATTTTCATTTTAATACAACACTGATCATGGTATAAAACATCGAAATTTCGTGAATCAATTAACAATTATATTAATAATTAAAGCATACAATAATATTCTTAATTTCTTTGAATAAAAAATGAAGAATGYTCTGTCTACAGAAATAATYCAGTGTGTCCTGTTTGGGAATTAGGGGAAGGTTCTTCAAGATAAAATTGCTTTTCAAAAAGGAAAGTCATAATCATTATAATTCAAAGAATATAATTTCGGAAAATTGTCCAACACCAAAGTTTTGGAAGATAGAGTTTTCCTCTCCTTTGAATTCAAACTTAACCTTTCCACACTCAACCGATCGACGGGCTTCCTTCCCATAAGCTGAAGGAGGGCCCGCAATCACAGCTTGTATGACGTAATCAGCGTCATTCTCAATACGAAAGGATTGATCAAACACTGCGTCGTACCCATGGTAACCGTCACTGCCTCGTGTCTCGGATTTATAACATCCYTCTATTGCGTGTTTTTCGGTAGGGTTTTCACGCGGATAGATGCTSAGTTTGAGACGATAATGACAATTTTCATGKCCGTATAGTCGTATACCGTACAACTTGATTGGTGTATTGACGGACATTATAACGGACTCTGAYTGGCTSCCTGAGTAGAGAAACCAGCGAGACACTACAGCAAAGCGAGAGCATCKTTTTAGCCCGCCTTTACGTGGAGTTGAGGAGTACTTTTCAAGTTTGTTTGGGACAGGACCAAAACTGACCAACAAGTCGACRATGTCTTGGTGAGAAAGAAGGTTRGAMGGGACCACGTGGTGTTTAAAGTCTTCTTCCGACATCAGCGGAAAACGAACATTCTTCAGTAACCGATTAGTAACGCTGCACAAYCTTGCAAAAGAAACCGTTGTAGAAGAAATTATCAATTGGTTTTGATTCTGATCAAAGTGAGCTTTAGCTTGGCGTGACTCAGGACAGCTCCGTAATTCGTGACTTTTTGGTACCTTGAACCCTCCTTGGGAGGTAACTGAGGACGACGGCAGCATATTTGTCACGCAATCACAATTCTCCTGACAACGGCACGYAAAGGTWCCACTATAAACRCGCTTTACAGGAGTTTCTATGTTTTCATCAACAGTGTGAAGCGGTTTGTTCTTGCGTGACGATATTCGTGACACTGAATGAGGCATGTAGTTATGACTGAGCCAGCGCTGTACGCCCTTGAAGAGGTMTATTTCCTTAACGCAYAATGAATCCCTYTTTAGAATAATTTCCAACAAATCATCACTTACGTCCAGGAAAGAACGACTTGTTAGCGTAATATCYGCATTAACATCGATCATTTCCAGACACTTTTCCGTCAATTCTTGTTCGTCTAGTTTCATTGCGTATGGCAARACTTCAAGCGCATGGGCTGCCGTCACATTCTCCTTTATAAAAGCAACGCAAATTTTAGCCAGAGAAGGTACGAGATATTTCTTTGCTAAGTAAAGAGCTTGTATYGCGGAAGGCAATGACAGTTCCACTGTATCACAATATATGAACCTYAAAAACTCCAGAAGTCCCTCGGAATCACAGTCTGGAAGATCCACAGTGTTGCCAGCAACAGCCAAATTGCTATAAAACATCGCTAAAAACACAGGGCTACTAATCGCTAAAACATACTTGTGTGCGGGTACGAAGACTTTACACGCCGACTTCTGGCTATAAACAACAAAATTTACATCCGAAATTAAGTCATTATTGAACATGAAAGAGTTTCTAGCRACCAGAGAACTYCTCTTTAGCTGCCAGTCTGTTTGTAGTACCATTTTTCAGTACTTGAAGTGCTGTCCGTATGCAGCTTGCTATCATACCACACAAACASCGTACCACCAGTCGAAACCAATTCAAAAGACTTTCATGTTTTATTCATGGTAACTCAGATAGTTTCTAGTCCTAAATTGAAAACAGCGAATGATTTCCGGTCCCTTCGTTACGACTTTTGCAATTATAACAATAACAATGATCTCAGCTTTCGAAAGGCTTTTTCATTTTCAAATGGACTCGTTAATACAACCTGAAGATAAAATATACATACACTCCAAAAATGTCAAATATGATTTTCAAACCTCAGTTTAAGTATTCATAAAAACCAAAAACATAAACTTTTATTAAGACTACTTTATTAAAATATAGTAAAATAATAAAATCTAAATGAATTCGGGTACACATTGCTTTGAATGAAGCTACATAAGACCGGCGCGTTAGCTTCTCTCAACTAACAGGTTCATACCTGTCAAACCAACCACATATTTACTACAAGCCTAACCAAACACAAAACCAGCGAAGGCAAAACAAGCGGAAGAAGAAGCCTTTTAGTATCCACGAAACGATAAAAAATTCAGTTTCGAATCTTGTTTGTCTATATATAACATCTACTTCAAGATCTATTCAAAAAGTTGCTTGATTGAGTGATTTTCATAATTAAAACAAGCTCTTGGAGATTTTCCAATTGAACGGGTTCACAGAATGGTTAATATGTCGCCCTTGATTGATTATTTGAAACTATATGCAGGTATCATAGGTATGTGAGATCTTGTATAGTCCTTATTGCCAATCTTCCGCCATCTTGAATTCAAAAGCTTCACAAATAAGAAACTTCATGATGTCCAGAAATTCATAAACCGTACAACTTTAAAAATTGCTTTACAGCCAATGGACATGTCCTATAATCTGGGYAGGAAATTCTATGTAATATCAAATTTGAAAACATGTAATAACTAAATGCATTTTTTTGTTTTGATGCAATAATCAAAGCGTAAAGTGTCAGAAAGTAAGTTCTGTGTGTGTAGTTTTACTATTTTTAATTTGCATTGCATCCCGGCAAAATTCAGGATGGCGACCGTCGTATGTTGTTTTTTTTGGCTAGTGCCTCGAAACGAGGCTCAAGCCACTATGCTAATACCTTCTAAGTGTGCGCGCCTGTAATTCGGAATATCTTCGTAGTGCTAGTTTTCTCGCCGATTATGTTCGATATTCTTCGAATACCTTCGTAACCTTCCGTGAAAGTTGGACTTCCTGTGTTTTTTCAATGACGTCATTCAGAAACTGATTTATTTGGAAAATAGTGCATTTTCCCAGTCGCATATTAACACAAATGTTACACAAAAGACTATTTAGGGTGTGCTTTTGTATAATGTTCACGAATTTCTTGTCTATAACATAAGACGTAGCACACTTTAATCAAAAAGACATTCTTACCCGAGTTGCGAAGCCGATGGTGGGTTTTTCAGCCASGTAAGTGACTTGGTATATAATTTGCTGGATTTAGGTCGCTTGGTTAACTCCAGGGCAGCAAGCTGGGACATGGCGGCTTTCAGGTCAATAGGGATAGTGTCTAAGTTTAGGTTCGGCTCACTTAGACGCTTGTTTTCCTGAAAAGTTTAGAGAAAATGATCAATCTAGTGAAAATACTTTATGAAAAAAAAAGAAAACAAAAAACAAATCCAAAATACATGAATTGCATTGGAAACTTTTTTTCAACCCAAATAAGAAATTCTAACAGTGTTTTGTTTTGAAGAGTTAACAAGTCATGGTCAAATATATTTGGAATTATCCCAGAAAACTAGGCCATCCCATAATGCACTGTGGTCACGTAGATAGCAAGAGAGGTGTAGTTTTGACAATATCTTTTCAAGAAGCTGATACTTACGCTACTTGATCGCGACGTAAAGTGCCAATCTCTGATAAACTCCACGATTTCGATTAGATAGTTCTGTATACAATCCATGGCGCGGGTGCGGGACTGCAGTAATAAAACGAGATGTGAGCATGTAGGCATTCTGTCTGCGCATGCGTGTGTCACGAAAGATATTGAGAACAAAAATGTTGTGCCCGTTTTGTATGATTTTATTATTTTCAGGCTGATTTCCGTGTCAGTTGGCTTGTTTCTAAACTTGCTCGTTAAGTACAAGATATATTTCAATAAAGCAATGGATTAGTTTTCATATAACCCGTGAACAAAGAGTAGTAAGGTGTAATACGTCAAAAAGACGAAGAAATACGTGTAGGCATAAAAATCAATCCGTTTCATAATATCAACAGAATAATCTTACCCCAAAAGGAAGAGAATACTCGGTGCTGTCTCTATTTCCACCATATGTTACTCTACTACCAGCATCAATGGCCAAGAACTGTAAAAAACGACACAATTCATACTCAAAAATATCATATTAGCGACGAGGATGGGATTCGAACCCACGCGGGCAGAGCCCATTGGATTAGCAGTCCAACGCCTTAACAACTCGGCCACCTCGTCATGTTATAACCGAAGAAAAGTTAAGTACTGCGCACTTTAACAATATCCACAAAATAGTTTGCTGACAATTCTGCACGCCAAGGCATAAAAATCGTTTTTTTGATGTTTCACACGACGCAGAATTATGTAGAATTTCTGACAAAGCTTTCAGGGACATCATGAATGGAAAACATGACGATAATGTGAGTTTAATCGACAGTAGAAAAATTAAATAGAATTTTATGTGAATTGAAGGCGCATCGTCACAGTGTGAAAAATGAGACTTCACGCAGTAACTTTTGAAGTCTACTATATGGGCTTTCGATTTTATTACAGATGTATAATTCCAAAATAATAGTAATGCCTTCTCTAAGCTTACTGATTGTAACATGACGAGGTGGCCGAGTGGTTAAGGCGTTGGACTGCTAATCCAATGGGCTCTGCCCGCGTGGGTTCGAATCCCATCCTCGTCGATTACTTAATATTTTTGAGTGAGGTCTTTAAGGATTATCTCAAGTAACGTCCTGAGTTCAAATTTACTTCGTGCACCGCACGTTTTTTATAATTTTTCATTTCATTTTCTTCCCAAAATTTATCGTCTAATAAAGAATAGTGAAATTATATCATTCATAAAATTCAAAACGATATCAGATGTCATCCATAATATCACTTTACTTTAATAACACTTTTTTTGAATAAATATTTTCATGCCAAAAATTCTAAGTAATCGACGAGGATGGGATTCGAACCCACGCGGGCAGAGCCCATTGGATTAGCAGTCCAACGCCTTAACCACTCGGCCACCTCGTCAYGTTATAGCCACCCCCTCCAAGAAAACCAAAGTACTGCGTACTTTAACAACATCCATGAAATAGTTTGCTAACAAATTCTGCACGCCAACATAAAATTCCTTTTCTTTCTTTTTTTTTTTTTTTGATGTTTTGCACGACGCAGAATTTCTGACAAAGGTTTTCTGACAAAGGTTTTCATGGAAATCATGCCACGATGCTAGTGAAAAGAAATCACGATGATATAGTATGGGTAATCGATAAAGACAAGTCCACAAACTGAGCTTTCGGTTTTATTACAGAGTTATAATTCCAAAATAATAGTAACGCCTTCTCTCAGCTTAGTGCCTATAACWTGACGAGGTGGCCGAGTGGTTAAGGCGTTGGACTGCTAATCCAATGGGCTCTGCCCGCGTGGGTTCGAATCCCATCCTCGT